TCATGTCAGTGTACTGTGTTTTCCAACCACGGAAAAGCCTTAGAAACCAAAGGGGAAAAGTTGCATCTCCCTCCAGAGGAGCACGCATGTCTGCCATACCTTGATAAACTGCCCTGAGGGCTGACACATGCATTTCAGCAGTCGGGGTGGAGACTTCAGGTCAGCCTTATCAGCCAGGAAAGGGCTGCAGTTAGGGAAAAGCGTTTATAGACTTTGTCCCTCCTGGCCTACTTGAAAATTGAATGGCAATGACTTAGTTTATTGTGAAAGACTGTATTTACCTCCAGAAAACTCACAGACTTCCTCAGCTGACTGGGAGAGGATTACAGACTTCACTTTCCTTCTATTTGAGGCATTTAAGTGCTGCTCTTAGTGCATTTGTTCGGCTGTCACTAGAATCCAGATGCTCCCACTTAGTTGCATTGGCACTTCAGCCTACTCAAAAAAACTGAAAATGATAGCCTGGAGCTCTGAAGATTGAATCGCTTGCATAAGCCAGATCTGTACTAGAAGCGGGAGAAGTGCCATTACAAAGCTCCTCTGACTTACCGGCCTGCTTACCCAGGAACGTACACAGGATAGGCTGGGCTTGTTTTAAATACCCTTAGAGAGGGTAGGAGTCACAGGTTTTCTGATTGCACTAATTGCAGAAACACAGTAACTCTTCCTGCCACACTTAAGGGAGGGCCCAGTTCTAAATGTTGCCAGGCAAGTTAAGAGGCTGAGGAGGATGTGTGGTGTATTGGCCTTTATACTGCCTAAACATGGGAAATGCCACGATGAAAACCCCAACTGGGAAGTTTTAGGATCTTGGTGGAGTAGCAAAGTTGCTCCAGAGACCAAGCTAGGGGAGGGGCCTGTATTGTAAGGCTATGTAAGGATTTCATGCAACAAAGTGAGACATTTCAGTAGGAGGGGAATGCTGAACAGCCCTCCTCTGCCCTGATCTTGCAAATACACTTGAAAATTGAAAGGAGCAACAAAACAGCCAAAAGTCTCCCTGATCTGCAAGAGAACATGGAGCCAAGCTCTCCACAGCTGCCCTCTGCCTGCAGCTTCCCCTCCCCTCACCCTCTAAAGCTCTTAAATCTTTGCAGGGTAAAATAATTTGGAAATAAAGAGAAGCAAGCCTCAACACTGTATGGCACTTAACCCCCAAATGTGCAGGCAATGTGAGACTAGAACAAAAATTAATAGTTAATGGGCTGTTTCTTCCCTTTAACTGGTAACACACATTTTGAAGCTTTAAGTCATGTTTGCTATGTTACATATGGTTTCTCAGGACCAAACCTTTAATCCAGTGCTTGGCATTTCAGACTATAAGATGTATGAAGGGAAAACACTTGACCAAAATAATGTAGGAAGTACTGTGCAATTTCATTTTCTTCAGGAAGGAGCACAGGGAGGTTGCACAGTTACAAACTAAACTAAACTGGTCACTGGTCCTGCACATCGGTCGCAATAACCCCATGCAGCGCTACAGGCTTAGGGACAAGTGGCTGGAGCTGCCAGGCAGAAAAGGACCAGGGCGTGTTGGTGGACAGCAGGATGACCATGAGCCAGCAACATGCCCTTGCGGCCAAGAAGGCCAATGGCATCCTGGGGTGTATCAGAAGGTGTGGTGAGTAGGTCGAGAGCAGTTCTGGGCCCCTCAGTTCAAGGACAGGGAATTGCTTGAAAGAGTCCAGCGCAGAGCCACAAAGATGGAGGGAGTGGAGCATCTCCCTTATGAGGAGCAGCTGAGGGAGCTGGGTCTCTTTAGCTTGGAGGAGACTGAGGGGTGACCTCATTCATGGTTATCAATTTGTAAAGGGCGAGTGTCAGGAGGAAGGAGCCAGGCTCTTCTCAGTGACAGCCAATGACAGGACAAGGGGCAGTGGGAGCAAGCTGGAGGATAGGAGGTTCAATCTGAACATGAGGAAAAACTTTCTTACTGTGAGGGTGCCAGAGCACTGAACAGGCTGCCCAGAGAGGTTGTGGAGTCTCCTTCTCTGGAGACATTCAGAACCCACCTGGACGTGTTCCTGTGTGACCTGGTCTGGGTGATCCTGCTCTGGCAGGGGGGTTGGACTGGATGATCTCCAGAGGTCCCTTCCAACTCCTAACATTCTGTGATTCTGTAACAGCAGAGACTCTACAGCTGTGAAATGCACCTTGTGCTTCTGTGTGAAATTCTGGTGCTAGGGGTCTAAAAACACCAGGCTTGCTTTTTGCAGATAATCTGGCTCCTCTTATTTATTTTACTACTTTTTTTGTTGTGAGTATTCCAAATGGACCCTCACGTACCTTAGCTGAAACGCACACACAGATTTCAACTGCAAATATTTAAGTGTTAGTTTCTACAACTGTAGGCAGAGTAACAGTATGTTCTGCAGATGGGCTCGCTTTGCCAACAGAGGTTCCGTGGCCTATGTTGTACTGTGGTGCTGGCTCTGAAGCAGTACCAAAGCACCGATGTAAAGCCTGATCGCTGAGCTAACTGTATGGCATTCTTAACTAATAACTGTATTGTATTCTTCAGTAGCCACATCTTTCAACAAAACTGCCAAAAATCAGGCCTGGAAGTATGTTAACTCTTGTCTGAATAGTTAACCATTTTTCTCTACTGTTACCGATGCCATCCTTAGACACCTCTTTACTGCACTACTGGTTTCAAACACAACCTCAATCATTTTTATTTTATACTGCAGCTTACAGCAGCAGTAAAATACAAGAATAAGCCAGGTACTTGTAAAAGCCAGTCACTCATCCTCAGAGAACGGCTTCCAATATAAAGCTCAGGAGCACTTGACCACAACAAAAGCATAAACTCTCAATACTTCACCAGCCTTTTTTTTTTTCCTCCCCCACTGCAGAATTACAGAGCTAAATCCTTCCCAGTTCTCACTGCAGGAGTGGAGAGAGCTTTCACAGAAGTTTCTAACCAGAATCTGCTCATGGTGTTGCTCTTCAAGAGTACCCAGGCAGGTTTCAAGCATCAGCACACAACTGCTTGAATCTCCTCCCTTTTCAACCTTGAAAACTGCTGAATAGTCTCAGTTCTACGCTTTCACATCTAGACATAAAAATCAACACAGTCAGGACACACATGCTGCTTTTAAAGTACACAGTAACTGAGATCCGCTTGAAAGGAATCTGCACACCACTACCTTAAAAACAGTTAGTTAACCACAATTCGTGAAGTTGCAGTTAGCTGTCCCCAGCTTTGGTTCTGGATAGATTGCTGCTACATAAAAATTACAGAAATATTCTACGTGTGGCCACCACAAAATGTAATGCCAAGAATTACAAGCAGTTACTGAATCTTGCCAATTCCTACTTGACTCAAAAGCCTTTGAAGAGGCTTTCCGAAGCAGGTTTGTTTTAAAGCACCAGCTTGCTCCTCACAGCACTGCCATTTCCCTCATTTTTTCAACTGTAATCACAGAGCCAACCACAAAAAAAGGAAGTCACCAGTCAGAACAAGCCTTCCATATGAAATTCATCACATCAGATGTTGACACAGATTAGGAAAAGCAGCCAGCTCCAAGTCCAAGACAGAACAAGCAGCAGGTTGAAAACTGAAAAATTTCAAAGAATGCAACCTTGTTTTCAAAACAGGCACAAATTGGGCACACCACAGCTGTGACACATAAGCACCCATGGTGGCATTAGATTTAATCTGCCAAAGGACTGCTTATTATGCATTAATTTGGAGCAGCACAGGAGTGGTTGGGTGCTAACATGACATCACTTACTCGTAACTCTTAATAACCCAAAAGATAAAGATACACTGAGATGCAGACGATCAAAATGGCTGGCATCTTAATTCTACTGCTGTCTCAAATTATCAGGCATATACACTCTTGTCAAGTCAGAACAAGCCTTTTCTAGAACACTGGAGAGGTATCAGGATGCTGGAATTTGGGTAGTGGTCTGTCTGGAAGCAGTGGTTTTCCTACCCTGGGTAAGTTAACACTCAGACAACAAAAAATGAGGAGCAGAAGGAGAGGGGCTGAGAACCCCGAGACAGGTAACAGAAACCACTGCCCTTGAAAGCTTTGTCTTTATGTTCAGTAACAGCAGACCTGCAAGGGGATTCTAGCAGATTTCCCATTTCTGAAATATGAAAAATACCTAAATATCTGGATTCTTTTTACTGTAAGATAAGCTTCAGGAAAGTGAGCAGAAAATACTCTGATATCATGCCTAATTCTGAACCTGTAATCTCACCACTAAGTAAATAAAAATTCATTAAGAACTCAAGCTCATCACATGGCTTCTCTGAGATCATAAGCATCAGCATGAGTCAAATAATGTGTGCATCTACCAGTTTCAATCACGTTTCAACTAAAACTCTTCCATTAACTTGAAGAGGTACAAAGATCTATTACACAACAGACTTCCACTCAACCAGAAGCTGATAGCAAGTCAGAGAAGACAAGTTTCTAATCACAGCATTACTTTGCAACCTCCCAGCACAGATAACCCAAGTCATCTGCTGAGCAACGCTTGCACCCCCAGCGCGCAGATGTAGGAACTCTTCAGTAATTCAGACTCAGAACTGCACAGACAGCAGCAGCCTGCAAACAGCTGAACGTATCCAACAACAAACTCCTCGGCCCTGAACTCAAAGATCACACACCTTAGCTCTTCCAGTACCTACGCAGCTCCAGGTTGTGGCGCAAGCGCCTGCTCTATCTTACACACACATTTCCTTTGATGTGTCATTGAAATCTGAAGGAAGACAAGCGCAGCTGTTTGAGTCAGCTGCGAGTTAAATCAACAGTTTCTTGTCAGCCCTGTAACAAATGTGCTTCCACAACAGGAAGCAATCCCGCCAAACCAAGATTTCTTCGCCTCTGAAAAATTACCTGAGGTTTTCATCCACCACCTCCCTCCTGATCTAAAATTGTGACCCGCTCACTATTGCTAGTAAATAAAAGTTTTCATTTAAACACTCAGATTTAATTTTATTCATACACGGCAAAAGTTCCACCTGCATATTAAAAACAAACAGATTAGAAGTAAATGTTTTATTCTTCCAACTAAATTCCAGTACTACAAGGGCAGTAAAACAATGATACACTGAAAAATTGCAGCAATAAACATTTGTTAAAGACTGATAGAATAAATAAAGACTACAAAAATGAGAAATCATATAAACCCATTCTTAACCCCCAAAAAAGTCATGGAATACAGAAATGCCCTCCTTCACTATTTCACAGGCAGTACTGTGGGCTATTTGCTTAAAATTGTCCTGGGATTACATTCTAACTTAACTGTGATTACAGTTCTGTTGTAGTGCACAGTTATGAAAACCACACTAACTTCAGTCAGAAGTGTCATTCTACATTTTTATTTACATAACCAGTGAAGGGCAACTTCTAAAACAACTGCTTAAATCCTTAACTTTTTCAAACTTATTAACATAAGAAGCCAAATTGTAATGATACAGCAAATGAGGCCACTGGTATTATTACAGGTAGCAAAGGTCCACATCCAGGTGGTACTGACATCAGGGAGCACTCCAAAACCAGTTGCTGCATAAGAGTGGTTGCCACTGACAAAAGCTTGAAATAACCTGTGTTCACAGGGGGGGGAAAAAACAGCATTGCTGCAAGTCTTTACTGGGACAGCTTGCAACAATAAAACAGGGTGTATAGGGCAGCCCACATACGCAGAAAGTGTGATTCATGAAACGTCTGGAAAGAGAAGAAAAAAAAAGAGTTAATGTTGGAGTTAAATGCCAGCTCAATCACAAACCTGTTATGGCAGTATCAAAACCTACTTCAAAAATAAAAAAAACCAGCACGTTACCAGAAACGGTGTTAGATGCTTTAAACAGAAGCTGCATTTTGTCTCACATCTTCCTTTCAACCTCAGTCTTCCATATTACCAGTTTAAGTATTTTTAACTTGCGGCCCAGCTGAAGCTTAACAATCAATGGCCATTTAAGCTATCGAACGTTCAGCAACTGAACGCTGCTACAGGAACCAAAGGCAACAGATACTCACAACTGGCAGGCTGTTCTCCATATCGTCGCATGATTTGATCATGCGTGAACTTCACAAACGCGTCGTATTGTTCTGCAAGCACGAAGCATCAGAAGTGTGAGTATGTCAAGTTTAACTCGAGCTGAACAATATTCAAAGCTTTTTTATACATACAAATCATACAAGTTAAACACACATCCGCTAACAGTACTTTAAAGTGATTTTACACAGTTCGTAGCTGCCATTTCCTTTTCAGCCCCACGAACAGCAATGCAGCACATATCCCCTCAACTAAAATAGTCCCTCACAAACTTCTGTAATGGGAAAGACTGCAATATGCTCCAAGAGAATTATGCTGCACATACACCAAGATCTCAATGTACCTAACACCTGCTAAGCACCAGACACTGTATTTTGAAGTAATCAAGTGTGCCCATTTCACAGATCCATAATTGGGGCAGAGTATTTAAGCATCATGGCATTAAGGTCAGTGCTAGGGTTGGAAACGTAACTTCTCCCTGCTCTTCTCGCTACCAGATATAAGAAAAATAATTTAATGAAATGGAAACACAGAAGCACAGGAAAGGGACTTGCTACAGAGTTAGAAATTCTTTTTGGTGACCACCAGAAAATCAAAAGCAAACGACAAACTAAAAGGATGAAATGCCAAGTGACTAACTCCAATCACAGGGGCAGCCACAATAGGAGACATTGTTGAATGTGGACTTCATGAAAACAGCTACTGTGTAATCTGAAATGAAACTTAGGTATCAAACATCTTAATTTGGTTTTGAACTAAGCACTGGCGGTTTTCCCCAAAAGATTATTCTTTCTATGCATACATACATACAAATACATTCATAGTATTTTATTCAGTTTTAATATTGCACTCATCAGCAGGATATCACCTTTCAGAATTAGGAAATTGAACAAGGAGAGTAATATCTACCAGATGCCGCTCCTCTCCATTCCCCTTCCTCCCTTGTGGAAAAATACATGTGCAGCAATGTGGGGTGTTCTGAGAAAAGGGCAAGGTCAAAGAAGGCAATCTTCAACCCAAAATGCAGTTAGATTTGTAGTGGTTCCTAGTCCCACAGGTTTGCCCCATTAAAGTCCCCATCCTCTTGCAGGGATGAGCTTCACCTTTGAAGTAAACAGGGTATCAGTGTCAGCAAGCAGCACAGCAGCAGCCCAACGGACGGACCTGACCCGGGATCTAAGGACATCCAGCCCTGCCTGAGGGGCCCAGGGTCACACAGCCACTTCCCCTCTCATTCACTGCTCTTCTGACTGACGGCTTCTCAGAGGCCATGCCAGGATCTCAGCCAAACAACAAAACACAAAGAGCAGACTGAAGGAGCTGTTGCCCAGGAACTATTTCCAAAAATAACAGCAGCTGTAACTTTTCCTAAAAGTATGTATTAAAGGCCAGAAACCAACTTGCCTTTTTTTTAAAGCTTTAAATCAACATACACAGTTGCTTTGTAGCATCATCTTTGTTAATATTTTCATGTTGGAAATTTCAATAATCCCCTTTCTCATGGCATTCTGACTGGGAAAGTTAAGCAATCCAAAGGTAAGAGCAACCTACAGTGATCTGTTTGAAAAATTAAGTGAATGCTTGTGAAGATACTTAACACCACTGGCATCCCATATCATATATGTTCCCAGTATCTATTTTAAGAAAAAAGGTGGCGAAATGCCACAAATACCAATATGATTACTACACTCTATGACTTGACCTTTAGTATAAAAAGCTGTTTTACACAAACAGATTCTAGAAAACCTTTCAATCTAAAGTTTCACTTTACCCCTTATACTCCTCCTCTGGTTTTAAAATTTGCAAAGGTTCTTGCAAACTCAAGTTAATGCTAACGCAGCAGTTTCAGGTAACACAAAGGCAGGAGGGGAAATGGGGGCATTACAGTGATCCGAGTTTTCCATTTATCAAACTCGCTCTGCATGAAAGGCAACCCTGCTCACAAAGAACACAGGAGAAGAAAAACAAGGCAGTATCTGGCTAACTACCTACAAGAAAACCGTGATTCAGAAAGGGATGAGAAAAATAGCTGAGATCCAAACATTCGGGTAAGTCACTTGAAAGAAGCTATTCAATTGAGATTTATTACAGAATTTCCAGTTACATTTCCATTGACTTCACTAG